CTCTCTCTCTCTCTCTCTTCCGACCCCCTGCTTCTCGCTCTCGCCGCGTCGATAGAGCGCAGGTCCCGCGAATATCGGCAATAAATAATTTACTAAGTCTTTTGTCGCAGAGAAACAAACATCCCACACTCGATGATATTATTGAAAAAAAAAAAGTCCGGAGGACACGTTAGTCGCCGAAACACACTTCGACAAGCCTCCATTCGCGCGGTGTCTTCCGCCTGATCATCCCGCCGAGGTGCGCGCAAAGTTCGTGTTGGGTGTACAACAACCGTCCCGTGAAAATCTTGGTCGCGATCCTGTTATCCGTGTTCGGTAGGCCTTTGATCCTTCCCTGTTGTTTTACCGGTTAACCAGATACCCTCTGCATCGGCGAGCCTGATTCGTTCCTCTCGTCTATACACACACACGCACCGCTGTTGCTTTGGAATTGTCTGAGATCTAGGCTCTGGCCTTGGTCCGGATCAGCTCGGTTCTGACGCGGAAACAACGAGCCCATGTTCTATACCAGGAGAACGAACCCAACGAACACCGAATAAAGCAGCCCCGGCTGGTGGTATCATTCCTTCGTCTCTCCTCGGGCCACTTCAACCAAATACTGGAGGACGTGTCCTCCATCCCCGAAACACGTTCGAGGACCATCCAACCCTGGGCCACGAGGATCATCATCTTTCATTTCTCCTTTGTCCTCTTTTCGTTTCTCTTCCTGTACGCCTCTCCGTACCCCATCAGCAAGATTTCACCGTGCGTACACTAACACACACGGCTGATCTCCGGGACGAGGCCATCAGCTGGTCGAAGTTTCTCCTGCGAGTCAGTCTTGAGGGATCCTCGACGCCTCGAGGATTCTCGAGGGCAGAACGACGACGACGACGACGATTCTCCAGTGTCCTTATTCTTTATCCCATCTTCATAGTCTTTATCACCTTTTTTATCAGCGTTCGCTTCGTCTTCGTTGGCTTGTTGTTCATTGTATCGTCGTTCCGCTTGGTCCGCCGTTTCGCCGCCGTCTCGTCGCCGTTTCCACGAGATCCAACCACGGCGTCCGTCGACCTCGAGGAACAACCCTCTTGTCCCCGGTGTGATCGTGGCCTCGAGTGTTCTCCTTCTCGGCCGCTCCTCGGATCAGACGTGCTGATGGTGCTGCTGCTGTTGTTGTTGCTGGTGGTGCTGTTGCTGCTGACTCTCGTCTGTCTCGCACGGCACCACCGTCAGGCTGGACAGGTTGCTCAGATTGCTACTGGACTCGGAATAACTGGACAGTGTCGGCCTTCTAGGTGGCGGGACAACCACAGCCGGCGTCGAGCTGCCAGGACTCGGGAACTTTCGGAACACCCTAAGCAACGAGCTGCCTGCACTGTGGCAACGGACTATCCGGTCGGGCGCGTCTAACAGCGCCGATTGGCTTCGATAAGGCGGCGGACTCTCGCTGTCGAACACCGTCCGGTTTGGCGGCGGTCGCACACACTTCTGGTATATCTCGCTCTCCTGGAAAAGAATTCAGTCGAATCTCAGTGAAACAGGCCTCGAACGTGGTTCCTAGCCTCTTACAATTTTTCTGTATACAGTAAATCCTCGATGAGTGTTTCAAGGTTTTTAAGAATTGACTAGGAGAGGTCTCCTGGTGTAACGTTGAATTCTGAAGTCAATGAGATTTGTTGAAATGATATTTATTGAAATATTTCTTATTCGGTGCTGAGAATACTTCGAACACTTATCAAGGATTTACTGTACTTGTTTGGACGTGTATGAAATACTTGATATTGAAAGTGTGGACAGTTGCCTAGTTTTTTGACAGACTCTAGGTCGGATTATGGTTGTTAAATAAATTGTCTGGGTTAGGTAGTTTATCGTCAATAATGTTTTGGGTTAATCGTGTTCATTCCATCTACGTGGAGATCTACGTTATCGAATGAAGGTTACTATTTTGTTATATTCAAGTGTACTGTAAATTGTACAAAATCCACAGTCTACTTATAGTATAGGAAGTGACAATTCGGAAGTAGAAGAGTTGGTCTAAATATGGGCTAGCACAGGATGATTACTTTGACCAACTTAGCTACTCGAACTGTCAGCAACTC